CCCCAAAACCCCAAAACCCCAAAACCCCAAAACCCCAAAGCAATAATAAATTATTGAATTAAATAAGAAATTAGTAAAATGATTGTTTGTGACGCTGACATATTCGATGAAGTATTTATGCACAAGGACTTGATGCCACTCTCCTGTTTTCATGTCCATTCAGGATATACCCAGGTCCTAAGAGTCTTCAAATACATGCTGAAGTATAGCTCTACTCTCAGAAGAGACCATTACCATTTGATTAGTAACATGTTCCGTAACCACGCCAGAGAAGATTCTTCAAGATGAAATTACTTAGTTAATTATGGGGCAAGAACAGCCCTAGACCTCTGGTTTCAGGCTAAAGACTATCCTGAGGGTAGTGAAGTCCTTATGACTGCCATCTCGACTGAAGGAACTATAGGGATTGTGAGAGGGAAAGGTTACCCTAACAGAAAAGAAATGAAAATTGTACCAGTTGATATCCAATGGGAAACATTAGGTCCTTCTTTACATAACATTAAGGAAAGAGTTACAGATAAAACTGTCGCGTTAATTCTGACATATCCTTATGGTGTAGTTTATGATATTAAAAATATCTCTAAATTTTGCAAACAGCAAGGAATCGACATAATTGAAGATGCTTCTGAAGCGTTTTCATGTGTTTCTACCCCAGGATCCCCTTATGCCGACTTGACTCTATTAAGTTTTGGGATGCTCAAGCATTATTCTGCATTCGGAGGAGGAATTTCAGTAATCAGAGATAACCAAGAAACCTTCCAGAAAATGCTGGAAATCGAGCGATCATACAAAAAGGAGCGATCTTTCTTTTACCTTACCAGAGTGATTAAGGCTATTAGACTGATGACATTACTCAATTCTGGGGGAAATTTCTTCATCAAAATGGCTAGGACTTTACAGCAGTACAAAATACTTCATTATAACAGAAAGCCAATTTGGAAACTTCGTCAAAGAATTTCCCTTCCTTGCTTACGCCTTCTATATTCTAGACTAAACGATATCGATCCTGTTGAAGATTTGAAGAAATATGACAAATTATTAAAATTTGACTTCGGTGGGATTATCCCAGGATGTCAGGCTCTTAAAAGCAACTACTACCTCTACCCAATTATTTTCAGAGAACCTAAGAAAATTATCGCTGCTTGAAGAATGAGAGGAATACAAGCACTCAGAGGAACAGAAGTTCACTGCATCATTAGGGACAAATATAGCACATCTGACGAGGAAGATCCGACTCCTGAGGCAACTAGGATCCTAGAGAACATCATTCTCCTTCCGATCAACAAAGAAACGTCTGAAGACAACATCAGGAAGGTGTACCTTGAAGTCGTAGATGCAGTTATAGCTCTTAACAGAGGGTTACAGATAGACCCGATGAGATTCATTGCTAAAATATAACCCTAACTTATCAATTAATAAAATAGATATTGGGGTTTTGGGGTTTTGGGGTTTTGGGGTTTTGGGGTTTTGGGG